TTCTATGTTATTTTGACTCGGTCAACGTAAAAATGATGCGTGTTTTTTCTTCCGTGTAACGCGCGTGAATGAGTTCATCTTCCCAGTGGAGCTCGATAACTTGTCTTTAGTCCAACCTATTTAGTAGCTGACATTTGCTGCTTTTTCAAAGATATTTCATATGGATTACTCTGCGACTCAAAGTGGATTTAGACAGCGTAAGTTACGTACGTGAATTTGTCGATCGAACTAGTTAGAGCTAGAAAATGGAACGCCATACGGTATACCGGTGTGATTAGCTTCCGGTTAAGGCGAATAAATAAAAATAAATTACCTGTAATAATCAGACACCTTACAAACGTATAATGCAAGTTCAGTAGTGCGCAAACGGCGTTTATAGCTTATTTACAAACTATTATTGCAAGTGTATGCTAACAGTGTTAGCTAGCTAATTTAACGTTGAGTTCCGTGTTGTGTAGGACTATGTTACCCCGGCTGTTGAGATCTGTTTCCTCTCCAGTCATAGAGGGCTATTGTAAACTCTCGTCCATCCTTGTGTTTCCTGATACAAAGGGCAAAAATGGAAGAATAAGAGATAGTTATAGTCTGTATAAACTTAGTATGTTCCTCAAAATAAAATTTTCTAACGGCTAAGTCAAGAGCGGAAACATCTCGACGGGGGAACAAAATCGGACACAACACCAGCTGTGCGTTCTAATTTATGCTGACTGTTTCAATATTAGTTATTATTACATTTTTATTTAAATAGTTTTTATTATTGCACTTTGAATGTTGTTAAAATTGTTAAATAATATAATGCATGTGACAAAACATTAATTAAAAAAGCAATATAGCTAAAATGAACATGTCCAACAAGTCCTGATGCATGCTCAATAATCCAGGTAGAAAAATCTAACAAGGTGAAGTCAGGTCCAGTGGACAGTGCTTCTTTGTACAAATGTTTCATCATCTTTTGTCCAAAGTACTTGTTCAGTCTGAGACACGGCAGCAAACTCGGTTTTATAAAAAGCACCTCATCATGGTGGATCAACCAGTTTGCTGCTGACAGCCAGAACTAGCTATTCACATGTAAAAGGAGGACCATCAGCGTAACAATGGAATGTGGCTGCTTGCTTTTCACAGGGGGCTTTGATAACAGCGTTGTAAGAGGGTGGAAGTTGAACATGCACTGCCCTGTTTAATGACGGACGGGTTCTCTTCACAAAGATGGCTTCATTCACTCCTTTTTCAAACCAACATTCCTCTCTATGGTAGGGAAGAGCAGCCGACCTGGGACCAGAAAGTCGCGGTTCGGCTCCCAGCCATTCCCACATGTCGTGGTGTCTCTGAGCAAGATGCCTAATCCCTAATTGCTCCCTGGTGCTTGCATATGTGCCCACTGCTCCACCTGGGTGTATCCCAGGTGCGATGGGAAGACTGAAGAAGTGTTTTGGATAAAAGATGAAGTGTTTCAACAAGAAGAATCCGTCCAGATGACCTGATTTAACCTTGTTAGATTTTTCTACCTGGATGCATCAGGATAAAATTAACACGATTGGTCTCAAAACTGTGTGAAATGCCTTTGTGTCATATTTACCAGACACGGTAAATAAAGTCCAAAACAAAAGTCACGTCTGAGCTTGAGGCTGGTGTGATCTTGTGACTAGTGTGTTAGAATGTGATCACTCATTTATTTATTTATTTATTCTGTCTTCATGGAGATTACAGATCATGAATGGAGGCACATGTGTACAGAAATGATAAAAGTCAGACATTCATGGACAAATCAGAGTTCTTCTCACACTATGTAATGAACCGTGTGCTGCAAATGTTGAGCAGTTCATCACAATCAGTTCATCTTTGTATTTTACCAAGATCATCTGTCCAGATTAATGCAGACACTGTTTGTTTAGAAAGGCTGTGAAGTGAATCTGTTCAAAGTGGCTGATCAGTGCAGACCGTTTGGAACTGTTACAAGTGAAAAAAATTCAAATGGATGGTAGAAGTGATTTTATTTATAAGCTTTATTAATAATCTCACCTTCAGCAGGTGAAAGCAAGCAATTCTGACAAATATCAGCTGTGGAGAAGAAACAATTTAGGTGACTAACTTGGTCAGAAACATGTAAATGACATACTGTACATGCATGTCCAGATGACCTGACTCAACAATGTTGGATTTGTACCTGGATTATTGAGCATGAACCTTTGGTGACATACATGCTGGTTTGTAGGATTTTTCTTTGTGTTATTTTTGCCTACGTTATAGATTATCTTGAATTAGAACACCCTCAGATCTCTTCCTATGCTTGTGAGATTTCATCTCTTGCCTGTTTCCCAACAGAACCCAGTATGCGTCTGAGGAACAGCTCTGTAGATGGTTCAGATGGCAGCCAGCTGTTTGAGGATACCAGTGGAGCTGGGCCTGGATCTCAGGGTGCCTATAGGTGAGAGCTGTCCCCATCCAGGTTGAGTCTGCAACTAACAAGATGAAGCAGTTTTCAACATCAGCTTTTGTTCTTGCTTAGTTTGCATCGTATGTAATAACGATTGTCTTGTCATGCTGACAGGAACCAGCAAGCTGGTCCTCAGGCTGCAGGATTTTCTGGTCAGGCCTTCCTGTCAGACCCCATGTCCAACCTGGCCATGGCGTATGGCAGCTCACTGGCATCTCAGGGGAGGGAAATGGTGGACAAGAATGTAAGACTGGCTCATAGTTTGATTTTTAAATCCCATCTATTAGAACATGGCTCCTACGTATTGTTACTGTCATAATAAATGTTAGATTAAAAGCAGGCTGGACAGCACCAAATCATCCTTTTACGTCTGTGTTTGCTTGTTTCAGTTGGACAGGTTCATTCCCATTTCTAAACTCAAATACTACTTTGCTGTTGACACGGTGTATGTTGGAAAGAAGCTTGGCCTGCTGGTTTTCCCCTACATGCACAAGGTAAGCTGGCCCTTCAGATGGTCCCGTTAGGCTGATCAGTGTGCAGAAGTACAGTTTATCAAGAATTTTACACAATAGGTTCAGGCTGAAACAAAGTACTTGGTGTATGAAAAAGAAAATAATTCCCAACATAATTTTTTTGTTTAATTTATCCTTGATTTTCACCTTTTTGCCAGTTTTGACTATCTTTATTTTAGCCACTAATATCCACTCCGCTATAAAATATTCAATCCCACAGTTTTGGTGACAAAGATTTGGTAAAGTTGTATTTTTGTCTGTGTGTTGTAGAACTGGGAGGTGAGTTACCAGCAGGACACGCCTGTCGCTCCACGTTTTGATGTCAATGCCCCGGATCTGTACATTCCTACCATGAGCTTCATCACATACGTCCTGGTGGCTGGCCTGGCTCTGGGCACACAGAACAGGTACACATAAATCTGTGCTTTGGACAAAGTCCTGCAGTTCTTACATGAAGGAGTGATTTTTGTTATGTACCGTATTTTCCACCGTACACGTCGTACCGCCCTATAAGTTGCATCAGGCCAAATATGTCTAATAAAGTGGAAAAATCCATAAATATGTCGCTTCACCGTATAAGTCGCATCTATTGTGCGTCACTGCTGACCACCTGGAACTGTGGGCCGGTGTGCTAAAAATTGATTGGCTGCCAAGTGGCGGCTACGGGAGCGTGCACGGGAGGACTTTAATAAGAATTTAACTAGATTAACATTTAAAAACAATTATTTGTTTGGTCGAAATGATAGTAAAGGTTTTTCTCCGTCTAACTTTTACTTAGTAAATGCACTTTGACGGTTAAATCAGCTGCATTTTCAAAAATAGAGTCGCGTCAGAGGGACGACTCTCTGTGCATTTCTTCAAAATTTAACAAGATAAGCACCTAAAACAATAATTTGTTTGCTCGACATTATAGTAACGGTGTGTCTCAGCTGAAATTTTACTTAATAAATGCACTTCAATTGTCAAAATAGCTGCTTTTAGCCAGGACGGCGCAGCAAAATGAAGCTGGTTTGACGGTTGCTCCAAGTGAGCTGGACAAAGGTGGCAGGGTATGGCAAGCTGATTGTGTTATTAATAGCCACTTTTACCTATTACATGATACAACGGCATGCCATACTGCTCAAGTGCCATCTAGCGGTTGAAAATGGTAGTGGTCAATATTTTCAGTCAGAATGAATGAAAACGTTCATATCTCAGCCAAAAATAGTTTTTATAAATATGGGAACAAAACATAAATAAATTGCAGGGCGTGCAACTTATGCCAACAAACTTTGACTTATAGGCCGAAAAATACGGTAACTGCATTTTGTGTTTTTAAACAGATGAATTGATGTGTTGAATAAAAAGAACACAAGTACTTATAAAAACTTTTAAGACCAACAGAGCCACAGAAAGACACTCAAAGGAACGTTACATCTGTAAAAATTACAGGATGTCTCACAGAAAGTGCCACATTTGTGACATTCTGCTTACACGCTGCTCGTCAGTAGAAACCCTACAGACGATGGGCTAAAACATCAATATGCTACAATGTTTTTTTTTATTATTTTTAGTTGTGTTGTCATTTCCATCTGGCAAAACAATACAAATGGTTCAACAGGGGAATAGTTAGGCATTTCTGGTTGAAGGGCTGTATTTAAGCTCTCGGTGTATAAATTTGTGATGTCCTTATGTTTGTCGTCTCAGGTTTTCTCCGGAGCTGCTGGGAGTTCAGGCCAGCTCAGCGCTGGTGTGGTTGATCATGGAAGTCCTGGCAGTTCTGTTGTCTCTTTACCTCGTCACTGTAAACACAGACCTCACCACCATCGACCTTTTAGCGTTTTCTGGATACAAATACGTAGGGTACGTACATGTCCGTGCCAGCGTTGGTCTCTTTAAGTCTTTACTCTGTTGTTTCATCACTCTGTTTGTTTCCACAGAATGATTGTTGGTGTCGTAGCAGGGCTTTTGTTTGGGAGGCCAGCGTATTATCTCTCTCTTCTGTGGTGTTGTGCGGCCATCTTTGTCTTTATGGTGAGTGGATACATGTTATGTTGTTTTAATCAATGCAATTAATGATTTATTTCTATTATATACTCTTTATAAAAATGCTGGTGCTTGATTTTTTTGTTTTTTCAATCTTCATGTCATCTTGATTCAAATGAAACATTCTTAAAACATCCATCACTTATCCTGATACATGCTCAGTAATCCATGTAGATAAATCTGAAAAGGTCCAGAGGACCCGACTTAACTGTTTTCAGATTCATCACTTACATTCATCTGTACATTTCATGTGGGTAAAGCAGATGCGCAAACTACAAAGCATTTGTCCTGCAAGAGAAGTAAGTTTCCTTTAGCTGCTCCCTTCTTCAGGGGTGACCAGCAAGCTAACTCACATGAAAGATTTGGCCATTTGTTTTACGCTGGATGCCCTTCCTGATGCAACCTGGACTCAAACCCACAACTTCAAGATTAAATGGTAAATGGGCTGTACTTATATATCACCTGTCTATCTTATCAAGACACTCAAAGCTCTTTACAACACAATCTGTGTCCTCATTTATCCATTCATACAAAACTCTGCTAGGTCTATACAAAGACTTATCAGAGCTTCATCACATTCATACATGGATGGGACACACATCAGAGGCTATGAGGGGTTCAGTGTCTTGCCTACGGACACTTCAGCACGTGACTGTTGGTGGATTCAAACCCCCAACTCTTGCATTGGAGGACGACTGCTCTAACCACTCAGCCACAGCCGCCCCAAGGTTACAAGACTGCAGCACTGATCACCAAGCTGCAGCGGCCCCATGTGTCCTGCAAGGGAATCAAATCTAATTCCAGAGCATGACCTGCCGTCTATTTTCAGACAACTTCTGCAAATGTTGGGTCAGATCTAGCAGATCTGATGTCCCACTTCCTGTGCTGCTCTCTACAGGGTGCCAAGATACCCTGCCCTAAGTGGATATCTTTATTAGTCATTTCAAATCCTTTATAAATATTTGAAAACCTGATGTTAAAAAGAAGTGTAAATTTAGGATCACTGCTTTGAAACAATCCAAAAGTCTGCTGCAAGTGTGTAAATATTTCCACATAAAACTTTAGTAGAATTTTTCAGTTTTGGGGTAAAATGAGCTCCAGGTTCAAACAGAATAAGTTTCTATATTCTGTACTGGCGTTTCAAAACACTCGTTAGTTTAGTGTTGGACTTTATACAAATCCTCCTGTCATTAAAGGACGTGTATGATTATTTACACTGACAACAACCAGTCACCTGCACACAAAAAGCAAAAGCTGTTGTCGGTGCCAAAGACCGAGTTAAATTAAAGGACTAGCGATACTTAAAGGAGTGCAGATCATCTGCTGCCTTTCATGCCGGTGTTTTAGACCAGGGGTTCCCAAAATTTTCCATGCCATGGCCCCCCAAACAGCATTAGCTTGTGGCCAAGGCCCCCCTCGCAAACCCACAAACTATGCTATAAAATATGTAAATAAACATCAACTTTTAGAATATTTTAACTTTTATTCACTATATTCAATTAATTATTGCAGCTGCTGAGCATAAGAATGTTATTTACGAAGATGTTTTAAACATTGTGTTTAGGCCTGTCACAATAAATCAATTAATTGCATGATAAATGAAAATGATCAACCTCATTTTCATTTATCAGCTTTATCGTTTCTTCGTGTCTGTCTCTTTCTACTGAAGACACTGGATGACAAAAGGCTCAACTGTGGTGCCACTGACCCCTTCCGTTCTCTTTTCTCTTTAAAATAAATTTTAACCGTCCAAAATCACGTTTTTGGATCATTAAAAGCAACTAAGCTGAGAATCTAGGCTACGAGCTAAGCTAACAGGCCGACCTCGGGGGGGGGGGGGGCACCTCCGTTTTGTTGAAGCTCCAAAATTCACGGTTGAAACCCGTGCCTTTGTGTAAAAAGTTGTTTTTCTCTGCAAAAAGAAGCTGAGAACTTGTTTACTGATTTTTTAAAATTTTTATTAAAAGCTTTGAGTGACAAATGTTATGCTGAAGAGCTCAAACCACATCGAACATCTTCCATTTTGAGAACCAAAAAACAGGAACAAGAGAGAGCCCATGTCACATCAAGGGGCCTCCCTCCCGTTTTTCTTAAAGAGCCACGCTGCTCGCTCCCTCACTATCCATCCTTCGGTTCAAACAGTCTTATACTGCCATCCAGTGGTCAAAAAAGGCATTACACACAAAAATGAACATTTCTTCTTAAATTTGACAATAATTACTAATTATTGTCAAATTTCAAACAATATTATCTTTTATCGCAATAATTTCTGAGACAATCACCCAGCAAAATTTTTATTGTGACAGGCCTCGTATTCTATTCTCACTGAAAACAACAACTTTTCAACAAACTGTTGACCAGAAGAACAAAACAAAATAAGTCTAACCTCTCTCAAGCGTGTTTATCTGGAAATGATGGATACAGATTGCTCTGGTGGACTATTTTTATTATTATAATTATTATTAATATTTTTTATTTTTGTTTTTTAATCTTCTTTTCTCCAGCTTTCTGAGGCCCTCTAGCACCCCCTGGTGACTCCACAGGGGGCCGCAGCCCCCACTTTGAAAAACACTGTTTTAGACTAAAGATCATCTCTGGATGAAAATGAAGGCGTTTGGGTCAAACCGTGAATGTCATGCTCAGAACATGTGACAATAAAATGTGTCTCAGCTGTTACATTAAATTTTAGCTCAGTATTTGCTAAACTGGCTGAGTTATAGCCATTTTGTTTTGGGTAAAATGATTAGCTGTGGTGGCCATTTTGAATTAGATTGACTTCAAATGATAATGTGGTAATGACTACATCCAACAATGACTTGCTGAGTTTCATTCAAGTCTGTCCAGTGGTTCATGAGGTGTTGACATCATGACATAACTTCTTCTCTTTGGAACTAAATGCACTCTTGCTAAAACCAGCACCTTGGCTTCTGCTCCCCTCAAAGTTAAGAGTCTGGGTGTCATCCTGGACAACACATTATCGTTTAGATCCCATATCTCTAACATCACTCGTTCAACTTTCACCTCCGTGACGTCGCTCGCCTCCGTCCAACCCTCTCACCCAACAGTACTGCTACTCTGGTTCACTCTTTGGTCACATCCCGTCTAGATTACTGCAACTCCCTTCTTTTTAGTTTACCTGCAAAATCCATTTGTAAAGTCCCAGTGGTCCAAAACTCTGCCGCTCGCATCATCTCCAGAACCCCTTCAGAGGTCTGCGACCTTTACAATGCAAGGAGCCATTTCTGCCCCTTCGTTCACTAAACTAAACGTGTCCGGAGCCACAAAACCTGCTACAACTGTGATTCTGAACTGGTGACCCGCAGACCACTTTAAGTTTGTTGGAGGGCGCTTTTCTGGCCAGCAGCAGTGATTTTTTAAAACTAAAAAATCTACATTTATTGATATTCTTACATTTTAAGACAAAATAAAAGACAGTATTCTTGTAAAGAAAGAAAAATATGTTCTTGCACAATTAAAAAATTAAACAAACAATGAACTATGCAGGTCTATGATGATTTTTTTTAAAGCATAAAATGAAAGTGAGTAAGTTTTACTCCTTGTAATATTTCTAGCATTCACATATTTGCAAAGGAAGTGACAGAAAAACTGTTAAAACTAGTTTTTTTGTTGTTATAAGAACCAGTAAAATTCAGTTTGATGTTAGTTTTGGTCAAAGCTTGAAAGAGCCACTGCAGAGGGACCAAAGAGCCACATGTGGATCCAGAGCCCCAGGTTGCAGAACCCTGGGACTACCATATTTTTCGCCCTATAAGTTGCAGTTTTTCGAAAAATTTTCATGCCCTGCGACATATTTAAGGATTTCCCCATATTTAAAATCAATTTCTGTCCGAAAGATGACTGTTTTCATTCATTCTGACTGAAAATATTGAACACTACCATTTTCAGCCGCTAGATGACACTCGAGTAGTATGGCGTGCTGTTGAATCATGTAATAGATAAAAGTGGCTATTAATGGCACAATCGGCTTGCCGTAGTCCGACACTTTCGCCTGCTTGGTGCAAACATCAAATCAGCTTCCTTTTGCTGCACCGCCCCGGCAAAATGCAGCTGATTTGACCATTGAAGTGCAAAGTGCATGCTCTCGCAGCCACCATTTGGCAGCCAATCGATTTTTAGCACACCACCGGCCCACATTTCCAGGTTGTCAGCGGTGACACGTAACAAATGTGATGTGTCAGCGTTGACACATAATAGATGCGACTTATACGGCAAAGCGACATATTTATGGATTCTTCCACTTTATTAGACATATTTGGACTGATAGGGTGGTGCGACATGTAGGGTGGAAAATACGGTAGTCATCCCGTCCTGTAGCAAAATGACCGGATCCTAAGTCCAGCTCCTCACCTCCAAAGCTCTCATCCGTATCTCACCGCACTCCTCCACATTAACACCACCCAACCACCTGATTGCCTGGCCACTATGAAAAACCTCTCCCACCCTCCATGATCCAATAGCATCAAACTGTCTTTAAGCAGGCATTCTCACCCCAGCCTCGTCACATGACCTGTATTTGTTATGCTGTGTTTTTAATATTTTTTGTTTTTGACTGCATTTATTTTATTGTAAAGTGTCTTTGAGTGGCATGAAAGGACCCTTCAATAAAATGTCATGCAGCACAGCTTGCCTCTTGCTGTGTGACATTGTTTGGAGCTTGAGTTGGGGATAAATGCAGATAAACGTTTATTACCATTAAACTCCGATCAGATGAAATGTGTTCACTTGTTTTTTTGCCCCACAACACAGTAAGTCAATAGTTGCACGAGTGGCGTGCACCAGTCCCGTCTGTACAACAGCTCAGTGGTTTTAAGTGTAAGGTTAGCCGTTACAGTAAGCTTCGCTCGTTTCCCAACAGATCCGCACCCTGCGTCTGAAGCTCCTATCTGAGGCGGCAGCTGAAGGGAAGCTGGTGAGAGGAGCCAGGAACCAGCTGAGGATGTACCTCACCATGTCTATAGCAGCGGCGCAGCCCGTCTTTATGTACTGGCTCACCTACCATCTCATCAGATAAAAGCTGCGACTCACAGGCACGCGCTCGCTTGTTTAGAGAACGGACTCGGCTGGTTACATGTCGGCCCATAAAAAATACAATTAAACAACCTCCGAACACAAAGACTGAATCACCCATGAAGCAGAACACGACGAGACCGAGAAGAGGTGAAACATTACTACCTTCTCTCACACAGCACAGCCTTGTTGTTAGGATTGCCTTTTTATATTTAATGTCTTTGTTTGTAGCAAGTTGCTTCAAGTTTTCTGTGTAATTACATGTAATTGTTTTTTTTTTTATATAAATATTTATGTATGTTTGTAGGTAGTTAAACTATCATCGCAGATTTTGTTTTTGGTCTGATTGTCACAAGTGATATTTTTAAGCCACTAGAAAGGAAGCACATTAACCTGACACAAACTGGACACTTGATACAGTGAAGGAACTTGAACCTGGATTACAAACTGATCGGCTGGCTCGGCCTGAACGTTTAGTGATCCTCATGTCTGGCTCTGTGGATCCCTCGTCCTATCACAGAACTGGAGAAAAGGTTTGAGCGCGTAGACGTAAAACCAGTTTCAAACGTTTAATCCTTTGTCTTTGCTGCCCGGCATCTTCAGGACAGATCATTTTTATGGAACGTTAGTTGTAAACCTCAGTGATACAGTCAGTGGGTTTTGACATCTTTTTAGAAATGAAGTTTATCGTTTGCTGCTCAGATTAAAAGTCAGACGGAATAACGAGACAAACAGATGGTTTCTTTTATTCTTTGAAAATTGGAATCGCTGCAAAATGTTGTCGCTTTGCTTCTTTGTTTCTTCTGTCATTACATATTTCAAACTGTGGAATTCACAAATTCAGAGAAAAGATTTAGCATTTCTAAAAATGATTAAGCTTTTTTTTGTTAATTAGGTGCAACTGAAGCTACTTTTCATACGAGTACCTCTTTAAACAGGACACTTCTGAAAAAATAAATTGTGAGTACACAAGTTTTTTAACCACTGTGTCATACTTGTTTCTTGATTTGTACTTAAAGTTGACTGAAAGCTGCTACAACTGAAACGAGGAGACTGATTAAAGTGTGACTCATGAAGGGAGTGAAAAATCGTTTGTAAGATGTGAATGTTTTCCACGTCAGAAAGGCCTCCGTTTCAACACTGAGGCCTCGCGGGTCATTTTGAGCCAAGGGCAGCAGGAGGGTTAAAGCCTTGAACAGCATCAGTCAACATGGAAATGCATCAAACACTAATACGTCTGATCAAATACTAAATAACAAAGGTATGAATGTTTTTAAAGTATCTGTGTTAAGATTTAAAACAATAAAATGTATATAATGTATATAAATAAAATAAAAATCATTACACATGGCAGATTGTGCAGCCAAGAAATATACTTTAACTAAGATAACGGATTGTAAGGAAGCCCTCACAGCTTCAGTTCTACTTCCAAAAGCCTCTGTTGTGATTGATGGCCTGACACAGCCTGGTCTGCATGGTCCTCTCCACCGGGTATCTCTTGTAGTAGGGGAGCAGTAACAACATGTGGCAGGTGAGGGATTCTGGTAGATGGCGCTCCGTGGCATTGGGCAACACGGCCACCCTCATGATGATGTGCTTCATCCCCAAGAAGGGCACTCGGTCACAGCCGGTGAGGAACACTGGAGACAAAAACAGCCCACAGTGAATGTATGCAACATGATGGATCGCAGAAATGACAAACGTTTTAACTAAACTGCAGTTCCTGCAAAAATGCAGTCGGAATGCCTATTGCTCAAGAACTTGCTTAAAAACAGCTGAAATGAGCTAAAACCATTCTGAAATGGAAGAACAAGCTTAAATTAGCAGAAGAAATCCAAAAAAAAACCCTCCATATTTGCTGAATTGGGTTTAAATAAGCAAAAGTGAGCACAAAATTAGGAAATTCACTAAATAAAGATGAAAATAGCTAATGGCTGAAAAGGTAAAATAAGCTTAAACTACCAAAAGAAAGTGGAAGGAGCTGAAATAGCTAAAAAAAAAATTATAATTAGCTGCAGAAGCTAAATTTAGCACAAACACAGATAAACAATAGATGAAATAGCAGAAAAAGCTTAAACCAGCATAAAAAAGCTGAAATTAGGAAAAACAAGTTAATTAGGCTGAAAGAAGCAGAAATTATCATGAAAAACTTGAATTGTTGAAAAGGTAGAACAAGCTTAAATTAGCAGTAGAAAGCAGAAAGAACAGGTTTGTTAAACAGAAATGAGCACAAAAAAAAAACTGCTGAAAAGTAACTAAAAAAGCTGAAGGAAACAAATCATCAGAAGGAAGTGGAAAGCACATTTTTTTCTGAAATGGGCTGAAAAAAGTTGAAATGAATGCAAAAAGTGTGGAATTAGCCCCACAAAAATAAAATTAGCATAAATGCAGCTAAATAGCAGATAAAGCTGAAACTTGCATAAATAAGCTGAAAGGAGCATAACAAGTTGAATTTAGCAGAAAGAAGTTAGAAGAAGCACAAAATTGTTGTAGAATGTTAAGAGAAAGAACCTGAAAGGAGCACAAAACAGCTGAAATTAGCTGAAAGTAGCTTAAAAAGTTGCAATTTGCACAAGGACGCTGAAGCCGAACAAAATGTGAAAGAAGCAGTAAAAGGTAAACACATCTAAAGATGTGAAGGATGTAAAATGAGCTCATTTCATTTTTTATGAAAAAAAAATTGGCAGAAAAGGCTAAATATTTAAAAAAAAAAGCTAAAGTTGCACCAAATCAAACATCATAGCAGGATTGTTCTGAACAAGCTGAATGTTTTGATTTGATTTGTTGAAATAGCACAAAAATTGTGGAGCAAGAAAAATGCCAAAAATGTACAGATAAAAAATGGATCACGGTAGATTCAATGCTTCATAAATATTTACACTATTAGTCTGCATGTAATGAACGCTCGAGCTGGACAAGTTAAAAACAATAATTTAGTGGAAACCATACAAAGAAACTTTTTCTTCTCCTCTGCTGTCAAGTTCTCAAACACCTCCCAAAATGTGATGATGTTTGGATGGCCGGCGTGGTAGTCTCCTTCATAAACTGTGTTCTGCACAAAAAAAGGTTGAAAATTTAAGAATCCAGTTAGTGCTAGATGATTTTTTGGTGATGTAAATGCAACTGTGGAATGAAAACAAGTGTATGTGCCCAGGTGCCTCAGAGTTTTTACATGATTTATATAATATAAATATATTATTTTCAAGTGTTAGTCACGTCCATCCATTTTCTTAACGCACTTGTTTAGGGATGTGCGATATTATCGACGGTATCGGCCGATATTAACGATAAAGTTAAATATCAAACATCGACCATTCCATCAAAATAACTCACCGCTATAAAAGGTGCTGTTTATATATCGGTTTTTGTATAACAACCCAGGGACAAGGATGCCTGCAGCGCCAGCACAACGTCATGACGTCATGCACAGCGTTGAGTTTCGGTTTGTGAAAATTTACAAATTTGCACTGTTCGAATGTTGTCATGGTGTTAGAGTAAATGTCATGAACAAATTTGACATTAAACATAATCCAAGTTGAGGTGTTACATCATTTTCAGCCCCCTTTTCAGCATCTGTATGCCTTTTTATAACTGTCTATTGTTGTCGCTCTTGTCCATTGTTGTCATCATTCTTTGTTGAAATCAGGTCTCTCTTGTAAATGAGTCCTCGAGGCTCAATGGGACTTACCTGTCTAAATAAAGGTTGAATGAAATCTGCATTTGGTAGCAGGCCAAATTGACAAAGAGCATGCAGAATAATGTAGTATTTTAATTCCACAGCAGAGAAAGCTCTTTAGTCTAGTAAGTAGGTCTAGGAAAAAAAAAAATCTGTATTGGTATATGTTATCAGCAAAATAAGTTTTAACATATCGGATATCGGCCAAAAATCCAATATTGTGCATCCCTACACTGGTTCTTCTCCAGTGAGAGGCAGAGTGCACACTGGGACACATACAGACAAACAACCACTCATCCAGGGACAATTTAGTCACCAATTACCCTAACATGCATGTTTCTGGACTGGAAACAGAAGTACGTGAAGAAAACACGCATGACATGCAAATTTCACATTAGACAATAAAATCTCACAGCTCAAGTTTCTCTACGCTCAGCTCACCTGCTTGAAGACCTCCCAGTTGTAGTTTTCATTACCCACCACCACTGACTGCAGCTCCTCTGGCTGAAAGAACTCCACCACATCGATGTTGCACACTTTGAAAAACCCTCTCTTGAACAGTTCAAACACTCCTTCCACGGATTTGTTGAAGACATGGTCGACACAGGCGGCAACAAACTCTTTCCTATTGACAAAATAAATGTAAAATGCCACGCACTGAC